AGTAATTCAAGGCAAAGAGCAACATAGAGACTGTGCAAGAGCAAGCAGGGAGGATGGGAGAACATCTAGAGGAAGGATTAAGTTTCAGGATTTTTATTGAGGGGCATTGTTCTTTATTTTCCTGTTGTTCTGGCCCTCATTAGCCTCCAGTGCCCGGGGCCCTGCATACCAGCGGGTAACAGAGGATGTGCAGTCTCCATATTCCCACTCCTCTAGCAGATGGCACATCCTCCTTTCTCAGGAACTTCAAAACTTCCCACTGGGACGTGCATGTAAGTCTAAAAACTACAAAAGCCTAGTCTGGAATATAATTCTCGGTAGTGTAGAGCATGTCCCCTTCCAACCCACTGCATCTACATCTCGCAGGGCTTTGTTTGAGTTATTCTCTTCGGTTTTTAATGATTATTTCAATAGCAGTGAAAGCAGCAAAGAGTACAGCTTTCAGAGTGTGCAGTGCCCGTGTCTCAGGCTGTTCAGCAAAGGTTTGCAGTTGTGAGCAGATCAGGAACAGCTCCATCAATGCTCTTCAGCTGAGCATCGTTGCACTTTAAAGGGCAAGTGAAATTTGGGAAATCAAAAAGTAAGATAAGAAAGATTAAAAGTTTAGCAAAATTATCACTATGGATTACGTGGCTTTAGTTGATGGGGTGTGCTCATTTAGGAGGAAAACAGCTACTGTGGGCTTTGTGTTATTTCCTATGAGCAGAGTTCTGCTTTCATTTTCACCTTCCATAATGCTGTTTGGTAGAGAAAAACAGGGCTCATCTGAGGCCAGAATTTGGCTTTCCAAGTTCAACTACAACTAAATCCTGTTTGGCCCATAAAGAGCAGTGGTCCCTGTTCATTAGGAGAGTCTGACTAATTGTTTAAAGCTGCATCTCCTCTCTTGAACAGATCTCAAACAAAAGGCTCTTGCACAAGATTGCTCCTTATAAAGCTCAGGAACCCTGGTGCAGTTGAAACATCAAGCCAGGTGTTATGAATGTCAAAATGGGGAGAGGAAGGGAGGGAAAACAACTTCCAAGAATGCTGCATGGCTGCTTTGGAGCTCAGCATCCTGCACTGGGACCTGCAGCACTTGAGTGGTCTGCAAGACTTCACAATTCCCTGTCAGGCTCCAGAGTTTGGCCCTGGCTGGAGAACACAATCTAAGGTGAAAAGTATGTCTTGATAATGCTCAAAATCTAAGGTGCAGACATTTTTTTTCAATTAGTTTTTCTCTTTCGTTTTTCTTTGAGTGATTCTTTTCTTAAAAGATCATCTGTAGTTGTCATTTTAAAAGAAATAATTTTCCATGTGAAGAAGGCAGAGCCATAAGGAGGGTAATTATAATGGCATTTGAAATAATCCACCACTATTCCTTTGCCAAAACATCCCTCTGTTCTCATGTTTTGTTTTCCCGAGCTCTGAAATTTGTCCTGCAGTTTGCTAATGTTAAAACGACAGACTAAATCTGCTGACATATTTCCAGATCAAATGTTTCTGTTTTCTAACAATAAATTTGGCTGCCCTCCGATAGCAATGATTTGTTTGAAAACCTAAAAATCCTTAAATGTTGTTAATTGCTCTGCAAATGCTAAATTAGACTTTTGAAAGGAAGATTTGCAAAATGGAAAAACGTTGTGCACTTGAAATTTGCGATGCTGGCTTTCCAGATATCCCTTGAACATTCAAACCAGTTGCATCGATTATGCAATACCTAGAGGTAGATTTGGACTCCCTCTCACTTTTATTGCTGGCCCCAACACACAAATCAGGGAGGATGTATGTCTAATACAAGAATGTTCTGCAAACCAGTAAATCTGGGATTATCTCTTCGGACTGATTATGTCAAAGCTCTTTAGCCACAGCACTTTTGGAGAGCTAAAAATAAATAGCAGCGGGGTTTATACATTTATTCTCTGCCTAAATAATCTGCGCGTATTGTGTGTGTCTGTCTGTCTACAGTGTGAGACGTGGTATCTGGACTTAATGTTTATTTATAAGAGCTCTTTTCCTAGTAAGGATTTTGGCAAAGGGTTTAAAACAAACTGTCCTAGGAGAGTCGCTCATGGGATAAAGTCTAGTGCAAGTTGAAAGGAACCGAGTTCAAATGAGAAGCATCTACAGCAGCAGATTGACATCGGGGCAAAATTTGGCCCTGTGTGTTTTGAAAGGGGATGAAAACTAGTTCTTTCTCACCAATGTTATGGCACTGAATACAGAAAATTGTAATCCTGATTTCAGTGCCACAATTCTGTGCTATGAAAGGTCGGGAGAGTTTTTTGCATTTAATTTCTGTGAGAGCAAACTGAGGTTCTTGCAGCAGGAACTTCTACGTGCTGTCATTTGCCTCCTGGCCCTGGAGTATGTAGGAGGAAAACCTTCTGAAGAATAAACACTTAACAAGGAATTTTTAAGTTGGTTGTATCAAAGCCCTGTGAATGCCTTTCCCTGTAACTCTTCTGCTCCTGTGCAGCTTCTCCCATTTCACAGGAGTGCTCAGGAGAAAATGGAACTAAGGATTGAGGCACACAGCAGGTCAGGGCAGGCTACAGGGAGAAGTCAAATGGGCAGAAAAACAAATTTAAAAGTAATTTTATTCTTATTTAAACTCCATAATGGATCTTTCAGAAATGGCTTGATAAAAGTAGTCGATATAAACACTTAAAATAGTAGTGTAGGCAATAAATCTTGCATTGGCAGAGCTGGAATGGATGGAATCCAGCTCATTCAGCTCCCATGATTCTGCAGGTGTTGGAAGGAGTTCTGTGTTGTTACACTGATAAATGAAATCACATGCTGGGACTTCAATTTAAATTGCTATCTTCACTAAAAAGCCTTATTGGCTGAATTTTTAAATTAGGAAAAGAGAAGGCATTTCCTGATGTTGTAGAAAACATTGCAGAAAAATACAGCAAAGATATTTTCCCTTGTATATTTACAAATATAAATATATTCATAATATAAATGTGACTATATACATTTCCCTGTGTTGTGGAACAGTAGGAATGATGTTTTTAATTAGATAGACTTTATTCACAAGTCTCTCATAAAACAGTGTAGAAGGACTCCATGTTAGCTGTCATCTGACTTTGTAAAGGTAAACATTGGAAACACTGGCAAGTTGTTCTCATTCCCAGTAAAAACGGTACATTCACTTTCTTAGAATGAAACAATTACTGTGCTTAAGAGTAGTCAGTGTCTACTGCAGTGTATCTCCTGTAGGAACATGTTTTTCATTTATCCCTCTATTTTAACTCCTGTGAAACTGCTCTCTACAGCTCCAGTAATGGACATTTTTGTAACATACTCGTAAAGGAATGGAGTCCATCCAGTGCTGCTCTCACCAAAAGAGCACCTCTGAATTGCTTTTACACGTAACTGGGGCTGCGGGTTTGATGGTCTTTATATTCCACATTTTGTTTTTCTTGTGTGGTCTTTACTCAGGCCTTGCTTCAATTGAAGTGGTGCCTAAATTCCTGTTACCCGTTCAGAGGCAGGTTAATTTATTCATTCAGCTTGAGCTGTGATTTACCTTATCATCATATTCACCTCTTGGTGAACAGTAACATCCTCATCATACCCAGCTGAGTCTGAGCTCAGTGTACTCAAATGAAAGATTTAAGGTAAGATCATGGCACCATCATGTTGATGGGAACAGTGATCCCCAAACCCATAACTCAGTGTAGTGGAACATGCACTCAAATTCCTACTTTAACATATCCCTTTCCATAATCAGGTATTTAAGAGAGTGCTTTTAAAGACAAAAAGACAAAGCCTGTTTTCACTTGAAAAGCTAAATCTAGAGTAGTTCCATCATGGCACTTCATATTTAATTAAACCAGAGCACCTGAAAGGTGAGTACAGACATGGGCTTTAGGGACACTGTGTGTCAGACATTGTGAGAAGAGCTGCTTGTCCTTCATGGTGTATGTTATATGTACAATATTTTTCAGCTAGTTCATGCAATGAACTTACATTACAGAATTAATCTTTGCACTGACTTGACTACAAAAACTGTGAATTTATTAGCAGGATTTTTTTTTTTTAAGTGAAGAGAAGCTATTTCCTTTCCCAAGCACACATTATTCCAGAAGGGAGCAGAGGCAGTGTCTTGCCCACACACAGTATGGCTCACATGCACACACCAATCACAAGGTGTGCAGTGTTCTCACCCTCAAACACTAAACCCAGCCCATGGATCTGTCCTTACCCAGCCTGGGTCGGGCTCTTGCCATTCATAGAGAAGCTTTCCCAGCACTGGAAAGCAGCTCAGACTGCATGTCAAATGTAGGGTTTAAGCCTTAAAAAGCAGCACTGACACCCTTTTATTGAACTGGTCTAGAGGACATGTAAACATAATTGATTTATTCACCAGCCTTTTTCTGAAAGAAGAGGAATGACTTAATGGTGCTAAAATAGTGATCATAGATCACACATCACAATGTGTTGGGTTGGGAGGGACCTGAAAGCTCATCTAGTTCCAACTCCCTGCCATGGGCAGGGACACCTTCAACAGGTTGCTCAGAGCCCCTTCCAGCCTGGCCTTGAACACTTCCAGGGTTCATGTTCTAAAGAGCTGAGTGTATTTCTGGGATGTGATTCCACATTTGCTCAGCTTCCTCCTGCCCACTGTTGCCCAAGCTGTAACTGGTGTGCTGGCCATGTGAATAACCATGTTGGAGTTTCACAAGACTCCTTTGTCTGGGCTGCACATCATTGCTGGATTAATTGTCTACAGCTCAGATAATTAACAGGAAATGTCACCAGTGTGTATCAGGAGTCTCATACAAAAGCATTCTCTCTGTGTTGCGAAATGGGACCTTCAGTCCAGGTTCTGGCACCCAGAACACGCCACATCTCGTTTGTAAAAATCTCACAGTTCGCAAGAAAAGGACAATTCTGCGTTTGAAAGTGTCATAATGATCGTTACAACTCCAGACCGCGTCTGGTGTTTCTTGGTTTGAGGTCTCTGAGCCTCTTTGGGGTTGCTAATGGCATTTCTTGTGTCTTTTCAGCCACGTGACACAGACAACGTCCTGGATCCATCCCGTCACAAGCGCCCTGAGCTTGCTCTGCTCCGAGGAGGAGGAGGATGGAATGAGAGACCTGCCCGGGTCCAAGAGCTGAGGGCTTGAGGCTGCTGGCAGGGAGTAGTTAGTCTGGTCCCAGTTCCTTAGTGAGAAGATGCCCAGGTTTTAATCTACCTGCTTTCCAGTGTAATGTAGTTGTACCTGGTGACGTTTCTCCCCTTCAAGCTGGAGGAGGTTCTGCCATTTTTGACGTGGGTTTATTGATGGGGGTACAAAGGATGCAGGTGGGTGCTGCAGGAGTCCTTAATCTGTCCCACTTTGGTGTGCAGGGATCAGTCTCACCTCAGGGCCCAGTCCAGTCTTTCCATGACTTCCCCACTGACATAATTCACCTGACCTGAAGTGAAATTTTCACGGCTTTGGCCAACATGAGATTAAGATGGGACAGTTGGTGGTAGATTCCAGCTGATGCCTGACTGAGATGCAAGGTCAGCTGGGGTTTTTGAACCAATGCTGCTGAGTATAATGCAGATGGCTTTACTGAAAATCTTTATTTTTATGAAAGAAATCTGCAAATAAGTTCTGCTAATAGAAATTCAGCTATTTGTTACAAGTATTGGAGCTCTGATGACTTTTAAAATGAATACTTATTATGAATAGTTGTTGAGCTTTAGAAAAATGAGTCTTTGATATCTTGTCAAGTGAAAAGAAAGTTTTTTGGTAGAGGACACCATGCTCTTTCAACAATATGAGGCAAGAATGAAAATTATTCTACTTTCGTGCTCTGCTAAACCGATACATGCACACATCAAATACTTCAGTGGAAGCTGTGAAGTTTCAAGTACAATGAAACCTGTGAAACCACCTCCAGGATCAGCAGAAATCAGTCACCTCCTCAGAGCTGGTCTTTAAGTAGAACAAAATCATTTTGTACACACTGGTGATGATTTAAAGAGGATAAAGAAAATGACGGGGGGTGCTGGCGCAAGTTAATGAGCAGGTTTGGGTTTACCTCAATAGCACAGGATATTTTAAATCTCATTATTGACAGCACAGTGTCTGATGTCAGCTTTGTCAAATGTATGATTCTGTGCTCTGTTTTTCTGGAGGCTCTTTATGTATGTGTGTGTGTGTAATGGTGGGTGTTACTAATGAATGAAAGACAGGCCTGAACTCTGCAGAAGCACTGATGGATATGCCAAAGGAAAACTGTCTCTGACCTTCAGTGCAAAAGGGAGAAGGGGACTGTGACAGTGTGAGGAAGGCACAGGCTGCAGTCACATCTTTGAGGTCTGTATTCAGTAGATGTGTCACTGGATTTAAGAATCCTTGTCCTCTGAGGAATGGATATAAAGCTCAGGCTTCCTCACAGTTCTGGTGCCTCAAACCACACACTCTGTCCTCAGCACTGCAGAGCTGTGCCAGGTCAGGCACGCTGGAGCTGCTGATCCTTTTGAGTCAAAATAATACACCTTCTTTTGAAATCCAAGTCATGTCTCTGAATAGCAGTGCAGGAATCTCCTGCACTTGGTCTGAGAGCTGCAGACACATCACCAAATGTTCTTCCTGGAGGAACAGTGTGCAGCTCACAAAAGAGGCTTTTGCAGGCTTTGCTGGAAGTAGATGTCAGGATATATTGAATAAGCAAATAGCAAAAACTTGTTTTGTACTTTTAACTAGGTCAGACCCAAATTATCTGTGAATCTACACAGGTGGTGTGGATTAAGAAAAGCTTGCTCAGCAGACCCACAGTAACTTATATTTCTAAGAAAACTTCTCATAACAATAACACATGAATATTTTAGCCATTTTTTACCCCAGTGGCTCCTGCAGCTTCACAGCCTCCTTTGTGCTCCTGGAGAGCACAGTCCCAAGGGACAGAGCTTGTGCTTCAGGCTTGGAGACTCCAGAAGCATTTTTATTTAAATCCCTTTTCTGCAAATGGCACAGACTCATGACCCACAGAGGACATGTGAGGCTCTGAATTCCTTGTGGTGTTTGCTGTAGCTGTGGAAATCATTTGGATGCTTTATGACAGCTCTTTCTGTTCGTACTTCCGTGACATCCAGCCTGCACAGAGATTCCAGTTTTCCAGTTCTGCTCAGGAGAGATTGGAATCTCCACTTGCCTCTTTGCAGCCTTGATTTATTCTGCTTGTGGCTTTGTGACAACTCACCGGGTGTTCCAAAGAGGAGAAGCTATTTAGGGACGGGGGGCTGTGGATCAGGGAGGCTGCAGGAGCAGAGACTTCACGGGGAGCAATTTAGAGCTGTCCTTCTGTTGGCTCAGCTGGAGGGGGACAGCTCTGCACGTGCTGCCTGCCCTTCCCGGGGAGCTGGGAATGATCCCAGCCTGCTGTGCACCGGGGGGATCTGCCTGCTCTGCTCCCTGTCCCCACCCACGGATGAGAACGTGCCAGAAGCTGGAGCCTGTTTCCTCCCTCTCTCTTATAAATTTGCCTAGAAATTAAAGGCGTTAGAAATAGGTCTCTACATCTCTCCAGCTACTCCAGTGAGCTTTTACCTCTCCACATAATCCACTAGTTCACATTCTCCGTGGTGGGGAATACATTTTCATACCTGCAATCTCCAAATGTTCTAATCTATTTTTGTACGCTGCCATACACTGTTTCCTAGGTTATTTCTCTTGATCTCCCCTTGTCTCTTCCTTTCTATGAAATAGTTTTGTGAAATTATTTTGATTAAACTGAACTGTGTATTTGGAGAAAATGGTTGTAGGGTAACTTGAACAGAATTTGTAAAGAGCAGTTGTCAACATATGCAACGCTGTAAACAGCAACTTTTCATTTTTATTCCTGAATAAAAAAAAGTTTAAGTAGAAAATATATTAAAGTGCATGTTGTATCCTTTAAAATAATGAAACTACAGCTTTATATGGGAGTAGACCTGTCCCATGTAATGTTCTTCATCTGATCAAATGCCTCTTGTAAGAGGCTGCTTTAGGAGTGGTTTGGTTCATTTCTTTAAGTCTGTCTCTGACACGCAGGAGGTGCCTGGTGGCACTGAGGGAGGACAAGGAAAATCCTTTAAGAAAAATGCTTGTGGTTGTGGAACAGGCTGGGCTGTGAAGTGGGAAAGGCTGTCCAGGAGCTCGGGAAATGCTGTTCTGACTTGGCCTGTGAAATGTCTACTTTTCTGGGAACTGATGGGATTCTTAACACTCAGCTCAAGATACTCCTGCAGGAACATTAATCCTCACTCCAAACCAAGCGCCAGAATTCAGTGGCCTTTTTGCAAATGCTGCTCTGAGTGACTTTTGTGTGGCTCTTCCTTAAGTCAGTAGCAAAACTGTGAGTCGGCTCAGGAGCCTTTGTTCAGTTCTGTGCTCCTGGTCCTTGTGTGTCATCCATTCCACCCGCTCCAAGGAGCATCAGCCTGACTGGGAATGAGCCCAGTTGCACCAGTTCAAACAGGCACCTGTCAGCCCAGGCACTGGGGCCAGCCTGGCAAAGATGTTTAGCAGCTTAAACATGTTCGTGGAGTTAATGGGAATTAGGCACCTAACCTACTTAGATGCTGCTATAAATGCTGCTAGGCATGTTTAGGTACCTAAATACCTTGGTAAATCTTTCCCCTTACTGCTTGCAGTGATAGCCTACCAAAAATCAAAGACCAGTGGCTAAAGCCTCACCTCTGTCCTCTGTAACCAGCTTTGCCTTTCCCTGGGGATTGTTTTCATGTTACACTAAAAATACCAGCCAGCTCACAGGTTGTGCCATCCAGGTTCTGTTCAGATTTTTGGTGGTTTGATTATTTACTGCTCATTCAAGATTTTTTTTCCCCAAACAGTGGTTGATGTTGCCTTGGATTTAATAGGTTGATATTTTCACAACACCCTTTTAAGGTAAGTTATTTTATTACAAGATAATGATATTGAATTCACTTCCCACAAAGGTGCAATGAGTTTTGTTTCATTCATCATTAAGTCATAAAATTGAAATAAAGAAAAAAAGGCATGGGCCAAAATCTGTTACAAATAGGGATTTGTGTTTCCAAATATGAGGTTGGGAAGTTGAAATCATGATTTGATGAATGATAACCAATCAATTACAATCAATGCTGATTCTGTCCCCGTGGCACAGTATCTGAGTCAAACCCAAACTAATTAAAGCTGATCATCTGAAGAGAGTAGATAAATAAGTTTGTATCCCTCCTGCTCCCAGGTATGTTTTGGGAGGTTAGTTCTTGCCCTGCAAATTCTGTCCCATGCAAATTCTGAAGCCACGAGGCCGCATATGATCAGGATCTCCATTTACAACTTCCAGGATTAGCTGAGGTGCTACAAGAGGGCTCTTCTGGGCCAGGGGCACTGGCCTGGAGCAGTGGCAGCTCAGGGGGAATGAGCAATTTGGTTTCTGATGTGGCTGAGGGAAATCGTGCCTCTCCAGGTAAGGAGAACTATCGAGTTCCTTCTTTTGCTATATCCAGAAGGGAAAGGCAAGCCAAGGGCTCTGGGGCTGGGAATGAGGACAGTGGCTCAGTGTCAGACACATCATCACCTCTTTGAACCTGCAGGGCACAGGAGCTGGATCCTAAGGAGGGATCGTCACTGGGTGAGCTCTTCCTTGCTCTGGCAGCTTTGAGTTTATTGTAGTGGGAAGTCCTCAATCCAAAAACCCAGTGTGCCCTGTGAAGGCACTGACAGGCTCCAGCTGCAGCAGGAGGGTGAGCAGAGAATGCACAGCAGGGTGTAATTCCTGGCTAAAGCCAAGGCCACGGCACAGCCTCCTCCCTCTGTTTGTGCTCTCTGCATTCACACGTTGTGGGTGCTGGTGCCCACACAACACCCATCTCTGCCTCTCCCCCTGCCCTACCCTGCTCTGATCACTCCCCTGGAGCAGAGCAGTTCTCAGCTGCCTTTTCCCTGCCACGTTTCCAAGGGGAGGATGGCAGCTCTGACAGCTCCCGAGCTGGTAAATGGAGTTTGCAGTAATCCCAAATACCTGAGATAAGAAACACAGCTCTGCCATGGAGGCTGAGGGCTTTAAAAGCAGGGAAGGGCAGGGACTGGGATGGATGTACGTGCCTGATGTCATGTGTCCCTGCCAGGGCTGGAGCCTAATTGGATTTCACAAATGTGACTTCTGTGTCTCTTGATCACAAAACCAAATTAAACCTCAAGAAGTTTTGAACAAATCCCTACCTACAAGTTTGCCTTAAAAAAAAAAAATAATTATGATAGACTCATTCCAGCCCCTCCTCTGCCCCAGAAGGGGAGCAAAAGGAAAACTTCAAACCAGAACTATTGCTTTAAAATAAATAAGCAGAGAAGCAAAGCGCAGCCAGCAGATCTGCTGAATTCCTGGGTGCACTGAATAAAATCAGTCATGTGATAATGATGGGATTTTCTAGAACACCTTTTAGGCATGCAATTTCTGCATTAAATCTATTCAGACGTCCCTAGAACATCTGTTTCTTCTATAAAATGGGAGTAGCAGCCACTTTTTATAGTGCACTGACAGCCACAGATAAAAGCCTGGTAATTGCTAGCAGGGACTACTTCAAAGTTAACCTGCCAAGATTTTTAGGACTATTGCACATGATAGCCCTGTGCTGGTTCACACAAATTTGGGAGGTGAGGTACACGTTAAAATTGTAGGTAACAGTGGGATTCAAACAGATTCCAGCCTCTCTTGAAGCCAGATCAGAAGCAGGCTGATGCCTGGAGTCACAGTAGCAGAGGGAGCAGAGTAAATCCCCTGATTCGCTGTTAATGTGACCTAAAATCAGTGGGAGCTGCTTTAGCACGTGGGTGCCACGAGCTGCTCTGCCTCCCTTCGGGGAGACACCACAACACCTGCTAAAAGCCTGGATATCCCCGAAAGAGAGGAGCCATTTATAGCTCCTGCCTGGGAAGATCCACAGCTCTGCAGCAGCACGGGTCCTGGCTGCTTTTCATCCAGCTCTCCCGATGTTTATTCATGAGTCGGGGTGCAGGGAAGATGAAAAGGCTGCTGGCAGACTTCTCCCTGGAGTCTCCACTTGAAATGGTACCACATTCCAGGGAAGCCTCACTTGTGCTCATAACAAGGCTGATCCTCATGGGAACACCGTTGTTCCTCTGTAGTTCTCAAGGCAAGCAAACATTATCCTTATTGTCCAAATACTGAGGCACAAGGAGAAGTCACTAAACCTCACCTGCTTTGGTGAGACCCAGAGCTGGAGTGAGATTATTTTAGTGCTCTTGAAAAGCCCAGTGGCAATCCTGTGATTTGCTTGGTGCCTCTGGGCTTTACAGCAGCTGTAAAATCGCACCCAAAAAACCAGGGGCACAGGGACTGCTGGCGCTCAGGGCTCGAGCAGAGCAAATTCTGCTGCAGAAAAGCCACCTGAGATCTTTCTTTGTAACAGGGAATGGCAGGTATTGGAGAAAAAAAAAAACAAACCTAAACCCTTGCCTGAATGAAAAGAAAGTGATGTTGGGGAGGACTTCTGAGCTCAGAATATCTGCTGCCATCCTCCGTCACAGCCTCACTCCGTGAGCAGGGACAGCCAGGGACAGGCTGCCAGGGTGCTCAGTTCTTGTGTGCAACATCCTCTGCTAAGGAACAGCAGTTACTCACTGCCTGGAGAACCTACAACCTGGGAAAAAAAAAAGCTCAATCAACCCGATTTTTTGTAATTTTGAAGGGAAGTGTTTTAAATATTGAAAAGAAATCACATCTCCTGTTAGGTATTATAAAACTGGAAAGCCTAATTTTGTTTTCTTTTTCTCGGTTGATTTGCAAACTCCCCTCAGTGCTGTCGGTGCTGCTGCCGTATCACGAGGGGGGCTCTCTGGGGGCTGAAAAGTGTGTTCTCCAAACAAACCAAAACCAGTGTTTTGTGCCTGCACCTGCAGTGTGTGTGAGAGCTGCACAACTCTCTCCCGTGAACTCCTGCAGGTTTTACTTTGTGTTCAAATTTACAAGCGCCTTCAATCAACAACAAATCCCACATGGACAACAAAGTCAGTGTTGCCTTTCCACCGCGGACCCTTTTCTGACACTTTATGCCAGAAATATGACATTTCCACAGATTTCTTTGGCTTTAAAACCTGTTCCCTGTGGCAGGGAGCTGTAGCACCTTCGAAGTTTCAACAGCCTAGTGAGAGTGAATTGTTCCAGTAGAGATTACTCAAGAGCTACTAATCTTAGCATAATAAAGCCTTTGACTGACTTCCAAAGGACCTCAATGCATGTGGTAAGTAAACCACTCTCACCTTCTTTGTGGTCTTTCTTACAGGAAACAAAGAGTGAGAGAGACAGCAGTGATGGAAACTCAGTCCAAGGTCATGCAGCAAGTGGTGGCAGAGGCTGGAGAGGTGAACACTTGGTCACCAGCCTGGTGCTTCCACTGAACTGTCTCAGTAAGACTCCAGATCAGGTGTAAAAGTTTAAATTAGAAGAAAATTTTATTTTTCAAACACAGTATTAAAAAAAAAAAAACAAACACGGTGCTTAACTCTCCCATCTGGGTCTAACACCTCCCGCTCAAGAAAATTAAAATAATAAGACAATATGGGCTTGCAGAAGGGAAGAACTCACAGAACAGAACAGTTGACAAGACAGTTAGATAATGACCCAGATAAAATAGTGGTGCTGGATGTCTGAGCAAGGCATCAGAGAAATGTTCCAAAAATCTGGTCTAAAAGTCTGCAGCAGTTGACGCTTTGTTTCTGTTGCATGGAAGCTTTTTGGCCATGGAGGCACTGCTGTCCCCAGCGGCTCCAGCCCTCGCCAGGACAAGGAGGAAGGAGTTCCCCGAGGAGCAAAACAATCACTGAGTTGTACAAGCACAAATGCAAAGTGCTGTGAGAGGCTG